AATTTTACAAAGCTGAAAGATGATCATGCAAAAGTGAACTGGAGACATCTACTCAGGCTATCAAAGGAAACCAGAGAGGAAATGGCCTACTGCAGGTCAGTAACCAGAATTGAACACAGAACACAAGCTGTGGCCTAACTAATAACTTCTATAAATCCAGGATCAGTTCCTGCTCTTATATACTATACTCTATTTTTCCCCCTTCATGACTAACAAAAGAAAAAGGATTCCATATGCTTGTTTAACCACCTTAGCAAGCTGAACCGTTCTGCTACCTTAAGGGATCTGTGAAAATCCACTCCCAGGGCTCTCAGATCCTCGACATCTCTCAGCAGTCACCCATTAGTTGTATATTCCTTCGTCTTGTTTGATCACCCCCAAATGCATCATTGCACAGTGGCCCATGTTGAATTCTATTTGTCAATTACCTGTCCACCTGACTAGCACATTGAAATCTTCCTGTAGTTTATAGCTATTCTCTCACTGATCATGTGGCCAATTTCTGTGTGATTATACCGCCTTCATTTACATCCAAAAATTGTTAACATATACTGTACTACAAAAAGCAGGGGACTGAGAACTGAGCCCTGCAGAATCCCATTTGGAATAGCCTTCCAGTCATAAAGATACCAGTCAACAATTGTTTGGTTCCTGCCGCTGGGCAATTTTTTAATCTAATGTCTCATGGATCCCATGGACTTTTTTAAAAACAAGTCTGCCAAGTGGATCCTTATCCAAGCATTGCTAAAATCCACATAGATTACATTAACTGTACTACTCTCAATCCTCCACATTACCTCAAGCAACTATCCTTGATTAATCCATTATTTCTTTCTGAAGACAGTTTACCCTGTCCCTCAAAATTAGAACATAGAACACAGAATAGTACAGTACAGCCCTTCAGATCATCACCTCTGCACCAACCAGGATTCCATTCTAAACAAATCACATCCGCCTGCACATGGTCTGTATTTCTCTATCCTCTGTTCACATGTCTGTCTCAATGCCTCTTAACCTTTGTTAATGTATCTGCTTTTACCACCTCTGCTGGCAGCACGTTTGAGGCACCTACCGTCCTCTGTGTAAAACAAAAATTGCCCTGCTCATCTTTAAACTTTTCCTCTCTCACATCAAACCTACGTCCCCTCGTATTTGACATTGCCACCCTTGGAAAAAGACTCCGACTATCCACCCTATATCCATGCCTCTCTTAATTTTATATACTCCTATCATGTCATCCCTTAGCCTCCAATGCTCAAGCAAAAACAACACAAGTTTGTCCAACCTCTCCTTATAGCTAATACACTCCAATCCAGCAACATCCTGGTAATCTTTTTAAACTGTCTGCAAAGCTTCCACATCCTTCCTATAACTTTGATGTGGAGGTGCCAGTGTTGGACTAAGGTGGACGAGGTCAGAAGTCACATGACACCAGGTTATAGTCCAACTGGTTTATTTGAAATCACAAGCTTTCTGACTGCTGCCCCTTTGTCAGGTGAAGTCACTTCACCTGACGAAGGGGCAGCGCTACAAAGCTTGTGATTTCAAATAAACCTGTTGGACTATATCCTGGTGTCATGTGACTTCCAAACTTTCTATAGTGTGCTGACCAGAACTATACACAAAACTCCAAATGTGGCCTAACTAAAGTTTTATACAGCTGTAACATGACTTGCCAACTTTTATACTCTATGCCTTGATCGATGAAGGCAAGCATGCTGTATGCCTTCTTTATTGTTTTATCCACTTGTGTTGCCACTTTTAGGGAGCTACGGACTTGCACCCCAAGATCCTTTTATATATTAATGCTCCTCAGGGTCCTGCCATATACTGTACACTTTCCTCTCGCATTTGACCTCCCAAAATGCATCACCTTACATGAGTCTGGATTAAACTACATCTGCCATTTCTGGTCCCAACTTTCCAACAGATCTATATTCTGCTGTATTCTTTTACAACCTTCCTCATTTATCCACAACTCCACCAGTTTTCACGTCATCTGCAAACTTACTAATCAGAGCACCTACATTTTCATCCAAATATTACACACAACAGAGGCCCCAGCACTGATCCTTTCAGGACACCACTGGTCATAGAACTCCAATCAGAAAAACATCCCTCCACAACTACCTTTCATCTTCTTTGACCAAGCTAATTTCATACCTAACTTACCATCTGACCATGGATCCCAAGTGACTTAGACTTCTGGAGAGTTCACCACGAGAGAACTTGCAAAATAAACTACACAGGCAACATCCATTGCCTTACCCTGATCGATCATCTTTGTCACTTCTTCAAAAAACTAAAATGAATTTCTAAGTCAAGACACCCCTGATGACTATCGCTAATAAGTCCATTCTTCTTCATATGCAAGTAAATAATTACAATGATTAACTACATTAATTTCCCAACTACTGATGCAAGGCTCACCAGCATATAAAATTCCTGGATTATCCATGTTGTCCTTCTTAAAGGAACAACAGTGGCTTTTCTCCAGTCTTCTGGGACCTTGCCTGTGGCGAGAGGATACAAAACTCTCTGTCAAAGCCCCAATCTCCTCCCTTGTCTTGTTCAGTACCCTGGGATAGATCCTATCAGGTACAGGGGACTTAACTACCGTAATAGTTTTCAAGACACCGAACATCATCTCCTTCTTAATATTAACATGCCCTAGAATATCAACATATCCCTCCGAGATCTTACTATCACCCATTTATTATCTTTGGTGAATACCATTGTAAAGTGCTCATTAAGGACCTTACCCACTTCCCCTGGCTCCATGCATAAATTCTCTCCTTTGTCCTTGAGTGGACTTACCCTTTCCCTGGCTACCTTCTTGCTCATAATTAACAGATAAAATGCCTTGGATTTCTCCTTAATCCCACATATCAGTGATATTTCAAGGCTCCTCTTAGCTCACCTAATTCCTTATCTAAGTTCTTTAATTGCTTCCAATAATTTGCCTGCTACTGAAGTTAGAATAACTGGCCTGCACTTACTCAGTCTGTCTCTCACTCACTTTTGAAATAAAAGTGAGAGATTTCCAGCCCTCAGATCCTCTAGCACCACACCTGGAGCCAGTGAGGACTGCTTCCCTGGCCTCTTATCACAGCCTGGTATATGCCTGGTCCTTTAGATTTATTCATTTTCAAGGATGCTAATCCAATTAATACATCCTCCCTCCCAATGTCTATCACATCGAATCCTTCAGACTCCTCAACAATAACTGCATTATCTCACTTTTATAGAGTCAGAGAATCATATAAAATGGAAACAGATCCTTTGGTCCAACCAGGCCATGCTAACCACAAGCCCAACTAAACTAGTCCCACCTGCCTGCGCTTGGCCCATATCACTCCAAACATTTTGTGAAGACTGACAAAGTATTTATTTATAATCAGACCAACATCTGTCTGATAGGTTACCTTCCTGGTTTTTTTTATGGGTTCTGCTCTTCCTTTGTTATCCTGTTACACCTGTTGCATTGATAAAAATGCCTTTAGGTTCAGCTTCATTTTGCTTGCCAACATTCTTTCATTTTCTCTCTCTTTGCTAATTTTTCTTTTTGATTTCACCCCTCTACTTCCTATACTTGTCTTAACTTTTGATTGTACTTAGTTCTTGGTGTGGAACATCAGCTTGATTTTTCTGCTTTGTAAACACCTTGACATCTGGTGGGCTTTAGACTTGGCCATCCCACTTTCCCTCTTTGTGGAGATGTTTTTACGCTGAACCCTTTGAATGCCTTCCACTGATTTACCTTGAAGCAGCTACTTTTGCTAAATCACCTCAGCTTAGTAAAATTGACCTTGGCCCAACTGAAAACTCCTGTTCTACCTTTGTCCTTTTATGTAATTATGATAAAACTAACAGAATTTTGATCTCCACAACAAAAATCTTTCCCATTGCCACTCCTTCCACCTTTCCAGCTTCATTTTCTAAAACAATACTCAGAACTGCGCCTTCTATTGTTGCACTTGCTACACATGGGTCAAAAATGTTCTCCCGACTGTACCTCAAAAGTTGTGCTCAACTAAAACTACCAACTATTCAAAAGTTGAAGTCACTCAATCAGAAAGAGTAAATTAAATGTGGGGTGGTCATTTGTAAACAGTAGAAAGGGAACAGTTATAGCAGTGAATAAAGAAAGAGATATTCAGTGGTTTTGAAGAGAATGCATGTGGTGAAAAGGATGAGGAAATTATCTACACAGTAATAAGAGGAGGCTATTCAGCCCCTGAAACCTATTAAGTTCATTCATGGTTGATTTGCATGTTAGCTCCAGGGATACCACTGGAGATGAATGTGACCTTGGGTTCTGGCGATGCCTTGTCTGATAATAAAACATGGGGAATGACCATGGGATCAGGTGGCTAATTTTGAGGAATGGCACTTAGGGAAGAAATCATATCAACAAATCTGGACACGCTAGGGTAGAGACAGTTCAGATGCAAGTGTAAGGGAAGTTGACAGGGTAGATGTCTTCTTTGCAGGATTGACTAGAACTTGGGGATATTTTTAAACCATATCAGGTCTCCCATTTAAGAGACAGATGTGGGTGTTTTTATTTCCCTCGCAGAGGGTGGCAAGTCTTTGTAATTCTCCTCCCCAAACAGTAGTGGAGGCAGGATCATTTATTACTATTAAGGCAGAGGTAGTTAGATTGTTGGCTGACAAGGAAGTCAATAGTTATTGAGGCCAGGCAGGATTGTGGAGTTGAGGCCAAAAACATTTCAATGATCTTACTGAATGGTGGAGCAGGTTAGAGGGGCCAAATAGCTGATTCTAATTCTAATTCATACCTATTCATTAGTTTAAAGATATGAAGGAGGAGCTGCTATTCAGCGTAAAGACCAAGACAATTAGCAAAAATTTCAGCAAGGAACCAATGTAGAGGGCTTTCATAGATCTGCTGTTCATTGGTAATTACCAAGACATTATCTCTCTTTACCTCACGTTAAGGAATGGAATGCGAGTTAGATGAGGAAAATAAATTTTAACTAACCTTGGTTATTGAATCGGATATGCCGTCTAGAAGTATTTGAGAAAACACCGTCTGTGAAATAAGAAAAAGGTATCATCATAATTCCAGGGGATTAGTATATTAGATTATATCAATAAATTGAGTATCACATGGTGAATGAAATCAGTGATCCATACAGCTGTCTACCATTACTTGGCCAAAATCTACCTCATTAATTAGTGTAGTCTGTATCATTAGATTAAATTTATCCCCCCTCCAGTAGAGTTAAGGGTAATTTATAACCAGCAAGGACTAAAGTCATTCATACCTAGTTTTATTAGTGTTATTTTAAAATACTGCAGATGCTGACATACAAGTCAACCTTTGAAGCCTCAAACCAAAACTGCTGCAAAAGATGCATGTTGACTTATAGAGTATAAAAGTGAACTTCCCTTGTGGATGTGGTTGGTCAACATCTTTGTCCATTTGCTGCAAGGGTTCTGTTTTGCACAGAGATGCCTCAAACATCCATTTTTTTATACGCTTGTGGGATATGGGTATCACGAGAAGGCCAGCATTTATTGTCTGCCCCTAGTTGCCCTTAAAAAGGTGGTAGTGAGCTGCCTTCTTGAACCACTGCAGTCCACATGCTATCGGTTGACCCACAATGCACTTAGGAAGGGAGTTCCAGGATTGACCAAGAGAAACTGAAGGAATGGTGATCTATTTCCAAGTCAGGATGGTGAGTGGCTTGGAAGGGAACTTGTAGATGGCGGCGTTCCCACCTGCTGTCTTTGTCCTTCTAAATGGAAGTGGCTATGGGTTTGGAAGGTGCTGTCTAAAGATCTTTAGTGAATTTCTGCAGTGCATCTTGTAGATAGTACACATTGCTGCCACTGAACGTCAGTGATGGAGGAAGTGGATGTTTGTGGAAGTGGTACCAATCAATCAGCTGCTTTGTCCTGAATGGTGTTAAGCTTCTTGAGTGTTGTTGGGGTTGGACCCGTCCAGGCAAGTGGGGAGTAGTCTGCCACACTCATGACTTGCACCTTGATGGGGCGGACAGGCTTTGGGGAATCAGGAGGTGATTTACTCACTGCAGTATTCCTAATTTCGGACCTGCTCTTGTAGCCCTTGTTTATGTGGTAAGTTGAGTTGAGTTTCTGGTCAATGGTAACCCCAGGGATATTTATAGTGGGTGGGTTCAGTGATGGTAACACCATTGAATGTCAAGGGACGGTGGTTAGATGGTCTATGTTATATGGTCATTGCCTGGCGTTTGTGTAATGTGAATGTTACTTGCCACTTGTCAGCCCATGCTTTTGTAACACATCCAAAGCCTGCTTGATCCCTTGCACCCAGTTATGAAATAAAGTTGATATTTTCATTTGGCTGAAAATTGAGAGACTAAATGTTAACTTGAGTAAAGCATGTCATAGCTGAAAAATAGAGTCAACTGCAGTTGTAGAGCAGAATTTTGCTTGTACTTGGAACTTACTTTACCTGTTGTTAATACTGATTTTGCCAACAGTCGTTTCTATTGGATGTGGATTTGTGAACTGATTGCCTTAATGGTAAACATGCCCAATCTTAAACTATATTAAAAGCCATTCAGTTGGAATATGCTAGAATTTTGATGGAGTTACACTTAATCTTTATCTCTGGTTTTGTCTTAAATTGCTTCTGTAAGTAATTACCTATTTACATGAAGCAGTATTAAAACACTCTTTAGAGGCAGCACTTGTACATAAGTGGAACTGTGGACACCTGTTTGATTTATAAAGTAATACTTCAAATAAAGTTAGGGAACCACGGATTTAGGCATTTTCCTTACATGGAGCTGGATGCCAAAATCAGTGCCGAGAGTGAGTGGAGACACATTAAGAAATAAGCCTGCTCTATAATCAGGATTAGTTTTTCGTAGTTTTTTTTTAAAACTGGAATGCTATGGATTCCCTCATTGGTATTTAATCTAGGTAGGTCCATTATCACCATGTAAAAATACCTGCTGACAAATATTCCTTAAATTTCCAGACATTTTCAGCCAAGGCCTTTTGAAATAATAAAAAAAATTGCTTTGTAGAGGACCTGCGCTCTGCTCGCGACAAACGACAACACCTTCCGGTCACAAACCATTTCAACTCTCCCTCCCCGCTCCCTGCGCGACCTGTCCATCCTGGGCCCCCTCCAGTGTCACAACGACGCCACCCGGAAACTGGAGGACCAGTACCTCATATATTCCACCTTGGGAGCCTACAACCCAATGGCCTAAATGTGGACTTTACCAGTTTCAAAATCTCCCCACCCCCAGCCTCATCCCATGACCAACCCTCCCTCTCATCGCCGCCTCCTCACCTTGACACAACCTGTCCATCTTCTCTCCCACCTATCTGCTCCTCGCACCTCCCTGACTAATTCCCACCATTGCCTACCTGCACTCACCTATCACCATCCCACCTACCTTCCCCAGCCCCACCCTCCTCTCTCTATTTATTTTGGAGCTCCCTTCCCCTTTCCCATTTCTGAAGAAGAGTTCCGACCCAAAATGTCAACTTTGCTGCTCCTCTGATGCTGCCTGGCCTGCTATGTTCATCCAGCTCCACTCTGTGTTGTCTCTGACTCCTGCATTGGCGGTTCTTACTATCTCTCATGCTGTTTCAAAGTGTTTCAAAGAAAAGCAAACGAGACATTTTGAAAATGTATCATAACAGGACACATAAATCTCAAAAGTTTTGTATCATTTGTCCAGCACTTTGTCTGTTACAAAGATAGATTTAAGTATGAAGATAAAGGTTGTTGAAACTTATGTTAGAGATGAGACAAAAGGTCGTTATAAGTGATGTCAATTCAGAGAAGAACATTAAATAGAGAAAATGATTTGGAATTTATTTAAGAATTAACAGCTATGACAGCTGGATTGATCATGACAATAACATTCTTTTCTAATTTTCACCCTGTGTAAAGTTAAGAGCAAACTGTCAAATTAGAAATTAGGATGTACATGTGGAATAGCTTGGAATAGATAGAGAATTGGATTAATGCTGTAAATTGGTTAAGTTTTTTTAGGAGCAAGGGATGAGATAAGAAAAGAAGTCTTTAGTATGTTTAAAAGCCTGACTGTCCCTTGAAAGGTGGAAGAACACATGAATGCCCTTTGTACTCAAGGCGAACCTTTGCTTTCGACACCTCACCATCCTATAAGAAAATCTAAAATCCAGCCCTGAAAAGTATAAAGAAAAGATTTGGAACTACTCCAGTGTAGAGATTAGAGACAGAGCTCGCAAGAATGGATTCATGTCTACTTTGGCTTGACACTTTCTGATAGTTTGACAAGCCAAAGAGGCACACGATACCAAAGAGAGAACGTGGAGAGGAGCAGTTTCTGCTTGTCAGCTGTCCTGTCCAACCTGGATCAGTATTCATTACAGGCCCTTATTTTTGCTCTATAACTGTGTTATAGCTTATCATAAACTCTGATCAAACAAAACATACCAATCCATATTGGTTACAGTTGATCTGTATAATAAAGATTAATGTAATATATAAACTCCAGATCCACTACTGAACAGTTGGCCTATCTTGCCTTCTGTAGTGGACAAAGAGAATGGAATTGGATTGGAATAGTTTTCGGAGAACAAACATAAACATTTCAGTGCATGCCAAGAGTTAGCGTGGCAGCACTTCGCACAGGGCAACAGCAGTCCAACTGACAGGTACACACAGATGCCACCAAAAACGCGCTGTGAGTAACCTGCTTAAATCACTGACCAAGGCAGAGGAAATGTTACTTCCAAGAGAGCGAGAGAACAGAAGTCACATTAGAATATCATTCAAATTCTCTTAGCCAATATTAATGCTCTAATGTTTCACTCACTGGATTAAGACATCGAACGTAAGTGGTGGTTGGGGAGGGGGGGGGGGGGGTGTGTGTGTTGGTGGGGGGTGGGGGGTTTGTGTGTAGGTTTGTGGGGGAGTGGGTGGT